AGAGAGAGAGAGAGAGAGAGAGAGAGAGAGAGAGAGAGAGAGAGAGAGAGAAAGAGTTATCACCATTATTCTCTTTATTATTAGTTCCAGTTCTTCTCTGACTGTGGTTTATTCACTAAAGCAGCTGCACCATGGAAGTGTGTGCACACAGGGAAACGTGGAGTGTAGACAGGGTCAGTGCCCTGCTGTATTTGGTCTCCACAGGGGTCTCTTCCCATGGAGAAGGGGTCCACTGTGCTGAGACAAGGACCTAGGTCCACGCGGACAATTTCAAGATTATGGAATGAAGATCCATGTAAAACACAAGCACAGGGGCTGCGGAGATGGCTCAGAGGTCAAGCACACCGCCTGTTCCTCCAGAGGACCTGGAGCACCCACATGGCAGTTTACAACTGTCTGTAACCCCAGTTCCAGGGGATCTGATACCTTCACACCAATTCACATAAAAAAAAAAAAATCACAAGCACCTAGAGCCACAGATGATCATCTGGGAAGAAACACTAGGAGTCTGAGTGTAAGCACAGGCTGTGAAGACACGATCCTGAGTGAAGAGGCAAAGTCTCTGTTTACAGGTGAGATCCCTGAGCATCAGGCCTGGAAGTGTGAGCCGCCCACTTCAGGTGAACACAGGAGCCTGGTCTCTGTGGGAGTCTGTGTGGTGCTTGCAGGGCAGCACCTCTGCTTTAAAGAGAAGCATCTCTGCCCTGCATACCAGCCTTGTTGTTACCATTGTTTTCCCAGAAGAGACGTTTCTTCTAGAAGATCCAGGGTCTGACTATTGACGAGAAGAAGAAAGCAGAAGGTGGAGGAGAGAATGAAATCAGTCTGACCTGCAGGTCTCTCCTAGGTTTTGGTTTGTTTCTGTTTATTTAAGACAAGTTCTGTCTCCACAGCTCTGGTTGTCCTTGATCTGACAGAACCCCCGCTGCCTTTGCATCCCTCGTCCTGGGATTAGAGGCTGTGTCACGACACTTGGCTTTAGTTAGTTTTCTATGGCTGTGAAAAGACACTGTGACTCCAGAAACTTATAAAAGGATTTGTTTCATTTGAGTTTAAGTTTTCAGATGGGTTTGAGTCCATGATGGCAGAAGAAGGGGTGCTGGCAGGAACAGCCGAGAGCTCACATCTTTAACCACAGGCAAGTGTCAGAGACACTGGGAATAGTGGCAGTCTTTAAAACCTCCATGTCCAACCCCAGAGACACACTTCCTCCAACAGGGCCATACTTCCTGATCCTTTCCAAACAGTTCCATCAGCTGGAGCTGAAGTATCCAAACCTCTCAGCCTGTGTGGCCATTCTCATTCAAACCCCCACAGTATTCAGTGTGGGACATAAGATGCCTCGCAGTGGGGCTGGAGAGATGGCTCTGCGGTTAAGAGCACTGCCTGCTCTTCCAAAGGTCCTGAGTTCAATTCCCAGCAACCACATGGTGGCTCACAACCATCTGTATTGAGGTCTGGTGCCCTCTTCTGGCCTGCAGGCATACACACAGACAGAATATTGTATACATAATAAATATTTAAAAAATGATGCCCCGCAGTGTTCTGCAGATTTGTCCATTGTAAGACATTGTCCATTGTAATGAGTAAGCTATATCCTCAAGCGGGAACTCTACTGCCCTAGGATCTCCCCCTTTGCCTCTGTCTCCTCCTGCTCAGTCCTCTTGCCTTTTCCCTCAGCCCTCACCCCAGCAGTGCCCAGCACACCCTCGCTCCAGAGCTCTGCACTAACACTGTCTCCTCCTTTGCATCTAGTTTCTCTCTGTGGTCAGCCATCTTGCTGTGAGCCAGGCTGTGTGGTTTCCTTATGTAAAAGCTAC